CCATAATGCAAGAAAATCGAGCAGGACTCTCCAACCGTTGGGCGCTAGTCGCCCCGGAGTCAAGAAAAAGTAATGCAAAACACGACAAATGGGGGAGGACATGGGAAATCTTAACCCAGCCTCAAGCATCTCCTCGTAGACAACAATATCCCCGGAAGAGTCATCGCAAGCAAACTCGCCCAACTCAGCCCGACGGCACAACACGGTCGGAGGGATGCGATAAGTAAAAACAAGCCTTGAAATATCTTCATCTAAGCGGAACAAACTAGAAAGGGTGCTCACCTTAGACCCGTCATCATCAAGTCCCACTTTGCTCTTGCGTTTCTTCTTCCGGGGCCTTAAGGAGTAGTCCAAATCACCATTGGGAGAGTCTTGAGGAACTTGAATCGGGGGAGCTACAATAGGGGCTTGATCATCAAGGGCAGCACCCAAAGCTTCCTTACTACTTGCAATGTCTAGCCCAACGCCTGAAAGTGTGCCTGAATGCTGTTGCTTGTCAAAACGAAGTTGACCAGTAGCTTGAAGGGTGTCTGGCCTTCAAAATTGCGCAAAGCAGAATTTTCGGCGCAAAAATCAGCACCTAAGGCGCCCAAATCAGCGCCTCGAGTGGGAATCGGATCAGCCCGTGCTCCCAGGCCACTGCCTAGCTCTCCCTGACGAACCTTGGACTGATTTTCAGCGCCCCTTGATAGAAAAATGCTGCTGCCCAGCGTTCCAAAGCCGCCCAGCGCAGCAGATCTGAAGCTGTCCGGGACAGCAGAAGCAGCAGCTAGGCTGCTGCCCAGCGCACCTGGGCTGTCCAGGACAGCAAGGCCAGCGCCCAGGCAGCTGCCCAGCGCGCCTGGGCTGTCCAGGACAGGAGGAGCAGAGCCTAGGCAGCCGCCCAGGCCCCCAGCGCGCGCGCGCGCCCCAGCCGTCTCCCTTCGCTGTCCAGCCCTTCATTTTCAGCCCCAAAGCTGTCCAAGACAGCATTCGAATGCTCAAAACTAGCCTCCAAGTTCTCCAAAATGGTGCCTACTTCCTCCCTTTCTTCAACCTCCACCACTCCCTCTTCAATCGACATTGTTCACTTGAGAAGCTCAACTAGCAAGGAAGAAATCACACTCTTGAAAGGATTCAAGGAGAACACATTTTGGCTTCAACAAAATGGGTAGGACTTGAGTTCTCAAAATTTTCAAGAGGTGGGTGCTCAACCTTAAAAATGAGTGAAATGAGTAACATGAAGAAGAAGACTATATTTATAGTCTAGGGTTTTTCAAAAGAGGAAAAAAGTCCAAATAGAAAATTATGGGCCTCTTCAAAATAAAGTGGCCAAATAGAAAATTATGGGCCCTCTTCAAAATAAAGTGGTCAAATAGAAAGTTATAAGTCCTTTTCAAAACAAAAAGGCCAAACAGAATATTATGGGCCTTCTTTAAAATAAAGTGGGAAAGACTTGAAATTTAAAAAAAAAAAATATATATATATATATATATATATAATCAATGCCTCCCTTCTCCAAGTCTCCTTGGACATGGGGCATTGGGGGGCAAATGATGGGTTAAGCCCAAATAGTCCAATTTATGTGTTAAAGTCCAACCCCAGTTGAGGAGCCCAACCTCATTTTGATTCCACCAAGCCCAAGACAGTCCAAGACCGGTTAGACTTTTTGCTTAGCACGTCACCAAGAGGAGAGCATGGGAAGCTTATCTGCACCACCAAAGGAAACGGTCCAAATCCACCAAGTCCAAGACAGTCCAAGACCGGTTAGACTTTTTGCTTAGCACGTCATCAAGAGGAGAGCATGGGAAGCTTATCTGCACCACCGAAGGAAACGGTCCAATCTTTGACCACGTTTCATGAAGAGCTCCCCAACCTCCCCTTCCGTTGAGGATAAGTTGTGATCTCCACCAAGAATAATCTCTTAGATGCGATAAAGAAGCCTTGAGGATAAGTCGTGATCTCCACCAAGAATAATCTTTTAGCTGCTATAAAATAGCTCCAATCTGGTAGAAGAGGGAGAGGAAGGTCACGCCCCCGACTACCGGAGATTACTATTTCTTTGATTCTCCATTCTCTTTCTCAAAGCTTGTATCTCTATTCTCCATACCTTTGAATCAATAAAATACCCGGCAACTGAAGCCATTGAAGAGTGGACGTAGGTCGAATTGACCGAACCACTATAAATTGTGTCTTCTTTAATTTTCTCATTGATTTCATTGCATTTATTACATACATTTGACAGGTGGTGTGCAAAACCATTTTTGTGCATCATCAGAAACGATTCTAGACGTAACCTTACGTTTCGCTATTGTAAAACCCGATAAAATTCAAATGTTATTAAAAATGGCAAAACGATAATTAATTGTTTTAGTATGAATAGCAAACTTGAATTTTTTTAAAACTCGGATAACAAAACGAACCTCACCATTTATATCGTCTCGTGAAATCTAGTTATTCAATTAATTTTTATGAAATTATGAGACAGTAAATTCACCTATTTATCACCCCGAACCCAATAAAACCTTAACCTAGTGTACTTTGCTTTTTCTTCTTGTCAATGCGAGAATTGAAGAGGCAGTTAGTCTTCACCATAGGACAAATTGAAGTTTCTAACAAAGCCCAATAAAAAACATATAGACGTTGAAGAAACAAGCCCAAAGAAGTTAATCCCTTTCAATATATAATTCCACGGGAGGATTCACAGAAGGCACCAACTTTGGAAAGGTTAGTCCATCAAACTTAGAGAAGCCCCTCTTAATATTTCTCATATTAAGATTCAATTATCATATTTCATCGTCCCAATAACTTAACCATTGGAGGCCTCTCACTCGCACTTTGTAGGCGGAATCTTTGATTTTATGTGAGTTGGATTATATTGTAAAGGTTAGTAGTTAGTCTAATGATCATTGTTCAACTGTTAGGGGTGCAATTTGGGTGAGCCAACTCGAATTAACTCAAACCCAATCTGAAAAAAAAGGGCTTGGGTTGAATTTTTTAATAGTGAAAATTGGGGTTAATTCCTCCTTAAATGACTTATAATGAATTTAGACTTATTTAGGGATAAGTCTATTTTTAATCTTACTAATCAGTAGTTAAGTCCACTATTTTTTTAAAACTCTAAAATACCTTTCTTTAAAAACAACTCTAAATTAGTTTCCTAATTTTTGAATTGTTATCCCTTAATTTACTATCAATGAAGATATATCAATAAAATTTTTACATAAATTTGAAATTCAAATTTAAAGAATAACTGATTCTCTCTCTCTCTCTCTCTCTCTCTCTCTCTCTCTATATATATATATATATATATATATATATATATATATATATATATATATTATATATATATATATTATATATATATATATATATATATATATATATATATATTTTTTTTGAATGTTCCATGTTACTGTTTTTTTTTACCATGTTACTGTTTTTGTTGAACATGTTACTACTGTTACTAAAGTTATTATTTTTTTGTTTTTGAATATTACTATTTTTTGTGTATAAATATTACTATTTTTTTGTGTTTAAATGATACTATTTTTTGTGTTTGATTGTTACTAATTTTTTAATGTTACTATGTGTGTGTGTATATATATATATATATTAAAATTAAAATTAAAAGTCTCTCATATTAAAATTCTCTCTCTCATATCTATTTATATTCATATATATAATATGACTATTTATTTCTCTCTCTTCATATATATATATATATGGGTTAAGCCCAAATTTTAAATCAAGCTCAACCCAAACATATTTAAAAATAAATATATAAATCAATAGATTCAATAACATAACTACAACTAGGGTTTACATTTCACAATTTACTTGAAGAAACCCAACCCTAATTCTAACTCGAATTAGTCCGAGTTAAGTAACCCAAAATCAGTTCGAATTAAATAATTTGAATTCAACTTAGACAGTTATCGGGATTGAATACTTCACGCTGAAGGTGGATTAGAGTTAAGATTATGATTGAAAATTATTACCTAGAGTATTTTTTGGTGACTTTTAATTAAGAACTTAATTCAATATAATCATTAAATTGTGAATTTCAATATTAAATTAATTTACTTTTAATTTTATAATTACATTAAATTAGATCTCTAAATTATGTACAAATAAAATTTTTCCAATTCTAAACACAACCGAAAAAAAAAAAAATTCTAAACACAACCCATGTGTTTTAGTAAGATTCCTCCTTCAAGAAGTTAAACTGGGTCAGAGTTTGAATATAAGGGCAGCAGATCTTGACCAACTTTAGGAAGGTCAATGGGACTTACAAACCAGTTGATGCATTATTACAAAATCTATTTCTATATATAAAACAAATTATTTTTTGAGAGAGAAGACTCGAGAAGCCTTTTCTCTCTTATTTTTCTTAATTTTTAAAATTTTTGTTTTTTTAATTATAAAGTTTTATATTCTTCAATCAATAACTAATTCTTCTGTTGAGAGGGAAGGAAGGGGGGAGGGGGGGGGGGGGGGGGGGTTGGAATCCAATCCAAAAATATAGCCAATTTTAACATGTAACATATACACCACCTCGACTTTATGATAGAAATGTGGGAAAAACTTGATACCAACACCAGATTTCCACATCCCATTTGTTTGGCAGAAAACTCACAGCTTGGGAAAAATATTTTCATTTTGCATGTTACATACATATTGAACTCAAAAGAACCGAAAATCATACATTCATTCTAACTTAACCAAGAACAAAGAATAATTAGGGAAAATCCAATAGCTGAATTCTGCTATTTGTGAAGCAATGAAATAGCATGTTTATCTAGAACTCATTCTGATCCACAACTACACTTTCTAAACCATTACTATGACAATTTGGGTTGCATTTAGCACCCCACCATCAAAAATATATAAGAAAAAAGTCAAGAAATCTACACATTTGAAGAATATTACAATGCTTAACATATTTTAACAAACACAAAACACAAAAGAATACTGATAACTACCTGTATAACAGAGGAATGGTGCTCCTTTTGCTCATATCAGAATTCTTCTTGATCGTCATCAATTGCAGCTGAAGGATGGCTTTCTTTTTGTTTAATGTAGCCATACTTCCTCAGAATCCATATATTCATACGAACAATGTTTCCTATGAAGACGACAGCCATGAGTGACAACCATGTCAAGACTGATATCTGAGTTACATCTCGTAGCGTGGCCTGGACTTCAAAATTACGTGGTGACATACGTCGAAGTGTGAGAAAATAAGTCACCACTTGTGCACTGATTGCAATCCACATTATTACCATTTGAACCCACATCCATCTCCGTCGTTTCATTGGTAGCCCACTAACAGCCAGGAGGATTATGCTTAAAGATGAAAGGAAAGCGAGTGTGTTGAAAATCATGAACAAACCATACTCAAACGGCCCTTTATATGCCAACACTGATGTCCCAACCGTGTGAGGATCACTCACTGGGTTGCCATTGGAGTCTACCTGATAGTCATCTTGCCAAACACCTCCTGGTGGGGTTAATCCAGCTTGAAAGGCCACAGTAGCAATCAAAGAAGCGACCACCATCAATGCGCTTCGCTGTCTACCAAGCCAATCTATACCCTGATGCTTCACTGCTGGCTTCTTTGATCTGCTCTCTGTTGAGGAAAGCCGTTCGTTGATCTGAGGAACTTTTGCCGGAGCCCAGTCACTTGTGATCAAATGCAATTCCTTTACACTTAAACCTCCAGCAGCCCGAATTGAATCTTCGATTTCCATATCTTTCAAATCTCTTGGACTTTGTATTAGACTATCCAAAACTGTAAACCCATTTGCATTAAGCGCATTCACTTCCAGTCCATTAATAGTAAGCAAAAACTTTATAATCTGCATAATTTCAGAATAAACTTCTAGTGAATTCAAATGCATTAAACCATTCAAGTTTTAGGTTCTACCAATTCTCAAATAGACGCAAGGATGCATATAATCCCCTATAGCCCACTGCCCAAATGCCCCAACTTTTCATTTGGCTAATTATAGGGGCCCCAACTTTTGTATCGAATCTTACAATTCCCGATTCTCAAATCTAAAATTTCGATTTCCGACACAAATCTCAATTTGATAACTATGATCCTTATCACCATCCTAGCTCAACATCAACTACTCATTCCAACTTCCAGGCATGCCTAATTTCTTAAGTTTGCTTAATTACATAATTTCCTTCTTATTCCCAAACAGTATGAACACCATTCAACTCACAATTCCATAAGTTTCCCTGATTACATCATTTAAGCTAGGACTTGAGTCAAGTAAATCTAATTCAAAGGGAAACATTTGAAATATGTTCCCTGATTCATTAGGAAACCTCCTTAAGCACTTCATTTTCTTTCAATAAGTATCCCCCTTTTTCTTTGTTTTTGAGTTACAAAAAACAAGCTATCTTCTTCTTCATTCTGATTTTATTCCCCTTAGAAATTTCCCAACTCCCAAACTTTCTCAGACTTCACGTATAGGCCCTTAGTCCTTACCTGTATTCACATATTTACGAAACAACACACACACATTTTTGTTTTAGTTCAATGATCAGACGTATCCGGATTAACTTAGACACACCTGGTCTGGTCAAATGCAGGACCAAGGATTGAACTTAGGAAGTCTTGATTTACGGTCTGCTACCACTTGAGCTACCCTGGGGTTCACACACACATCTGTAATTGAGAAGGGAAAGCATAAATGAATACCTCAATTTGCTTCTTGGCCACAGCAATATGCAAGACATTGTTGCCATCGCAATCTTTCCAATTCACCAACTCACTATTTCTCTTCATCGGTTCCTCCAACAACTTCAATACCTCCAACCTATTATGCTTCACACATAGGTGCAAAACCGTCTCGCCTCGGTCAGTCAACACCCGAGTTAACTCAGGCTTCACTCGGACCAACTCGGTGACCACCCCAACTCTTCCCTTGATGGCCGCCACATGCAGAGCTGTTCTTCCATCGAAATTCCTCACCGTACCCATCTCAGGAGCTGCGAGGAGTAACTCATGGACGATTTCAAGGTGGCACTTTGCTGCTGCCAAGTGGAGTGGTGAACAACCCTGTGAGTCCAACTCGGAGGCGAACCCGGGCTTTCGACCCAGTACTTCCCTGACGAAGGCCGTGTGGCCCAGCATGGCCGATGTGTGTAGAGGCGTTTCTGATATGCATGAGACAATGGTTCTGTCTAAGATCAGAGGATCTTCTTGTAGGAGTTGGAGTAGTGAATCTACACTTCCTTTTTGAGCTGCCTCTGACAGCCTTTCATTCATTTTCTCTCTCTAAAAGTCGTTAACTCAGTCTGTATCTAAATCAAGGTCTGCGTCTGTATCTGTATCTGTATATATGTGATCAAAACTACAAAGTCGCCGCCGAGGAAGTGGTGTGGGTGTGGGTGTGGGTTTGGGTCAAATGTGTTGGGAAGAAACGGGGGACCCATTAGAAGTTTCCAACGCGTAAAGTTGACTTGGGACGACTTCATGTATTTATTTTGTAATTTTCTGGTATTTGAATTTTGTACGTGGCAGATTAGTTTAATAAGATAGTCATGCCTGTTCACATTTTATACTAACATAACATATGGATATGACTTTGCTTTCTGTTTTTTGAGGTTATGTGGGTTGGTTGCTTTTCCACAAGGCCTCCAACGAAAAAAGAAAGAAAGTATGAACACGATTAATAAAGAAATTCACAGTATATAAATTTAACAGATTTAGAGACTGGGTATAAATGCGATTAGTCAAAAATTTGATTCATTAGAAGAATTAGGAAACTATCTATACATATTTATACTTGTATTTACTATTCCCTTGGGTCAATATTTAATTTAGTGTTTTTTTCATTGAAAATCCTTTACGGCGGTATCTTGAAGATGATAAGAGAGTGTTCTACATAGAAGATAGATCATGGCTCGACATTGGAGAAGTATACCTCCCCCTACATAGAGGTTGCTAGAAAATTTCCTTATAGGTGAAATTATACCTTCTGATTACTAAAAAAAAAGATTATAGGAAACTGTATGAAGACATCCACATTCGATCCTTTGAAGCAAAGGTTTTAACCAAGATTTTATAAAAGTCACAAAATCAGAAGCAACACCAAGAGATATTTTCTCAAATACTATGCACCAGGATGAACCAAATCAAAAACATTGAATCTCCGTAAAATTGAGATTGAAAATTAGAATCAAATAATACAAAGTTCGAATAGTAGTGTTTTTAATCTCACTTGTGTAAAATTTTCTCGCACCAGTGTCACATAATTTTATTCTTTTTTTTATTATATTTTTCAATCAATTTAACATTATTATTTGCAAAATTTATATAAGAAAAAATCAAACAACTTATTAAGTCAAATATTGATAAGAAGCTGCTTCTGCTACTTTGACAATTGCCCCATATTCATGTGTGAACTGGGGGCTGACGGGAATAAAAATGCAATAAACAAAAGGGAAAAAACAAATTGGGTGAGAATGTGTATGGACCAAGCAATGGGATTCTTGACAATGACCATTTGTTTATCTTGTTCAAATATCAAACAAGAAAATACTTTCCTTCTGTCTTCGATTGGCCCATAGTTAGGCCACCATGATCGGCGATAAATAGGACTGATTATTGAACTGAACTACTCGAGTTTAATTCGAACTCGGCTCGGATAGAACTAAATTTAAACGAGTCAAGCTTGAACAATTTTTTAAAGGTTCAACTCAAATTCACAAAACTCGGCTCGATTATCAACCCTAGTAATAAATAGACTTGAAGGGACTTGAGACAAACACCAAAGTCTTTCAGCTGTCATATGAGACATAACAGAGCATCCAGTTTTACAATTTTATGAAAAGGAGATAATAGAAACACCAGACTTATGTTTTCAGAAATTGATTATAACTCATTCAAGCCCCAATTAACAAGATCGGATAAAGTTCTAGTCAGCATCAAAGAGGCCAGATCTTCTGAATTTGGACAGAATCTCAAAATGAATTTTAATTCAACATGCACAAACCATACAAATTATTATCCATAAACACTTTTTTCAGAAGTCGATAAAAGATTATCAGGCCTGCGTTCAACTTGGAATAAGTTTTTACCAAATGAAAAAACTAAATAAATGATGCATTCCAGCAAGAGTAAAAACCTACATGTATCCAAGTTCGAACCAACTAATATGCATTTAAGAGTTCGGAAACTAGCATTATATCACAGCATAAACAATGTATTTAGTACTTCATACACATTCCTTGCTCACACACAAGACCGAAAACCTGATGATAACTGGACAGTTAGCTGAGACTCACATGGGACAAATACAAAAGTTGAGAGCCCACCAACCTCAATGGGATATCAGGGTCGTGCTCTCTTGTTGCTGCATGAAGGGCACTTGTACTGCTTGATGTGCTCTGCCCTGGCAGGAGTGATCTTCACACACTTTCCGTGGAACCACTTCTCACATACATCACAGAAAATCCAGAATTCATCAGAAGCATAGTTCTCCCCACATGCCCCGCACAAGGTATCTCCATGCTCCTCTTCATCTTCCTCCTCAAATACCTCTTCCTCATCCTTTCCTTGCATCTTTGAATACTTGCCCTGGGATTCAGAACCTCGCTGCACATATTTCCAAAATAAGAACTGTTAAAATGGAGGCATGCAGTGGGACAATATGTAAAAGATATGAGAATTGAAATCACGTTGGATTAATCTTCAATGCCTTTCAGAAAAGGATAAAGAGGGTAAATTCAGTAAGTAATACAATGGAAATATCCAACATTTTACCAATTCCACTCTAGGAATTAAACCATAGTAAGGATTGTAACCTTAGATTCTAAAATTGGGATTATATGTTAATAGGAAACAACCAAGGATGCTCACAGCGAAGTATTAGTCAGATATAACCTCGTTATACCCAAACACAATGAATTAAGCAAAATAGTAATGCACAAAAATATATGACCGCATACATCAGAATGATTGCACAGGAAACATGAAAAGATCCTACTCTAAACTCAAGAAAAAGGCACAAATTGTAAACAGAAATATCTTCTATATCTTGACCAGCAACAGCAGTCATTCCTTTGACCATCTACAATCAATAAATCTCAGAAACAATACTTGAGACAATTCTCTTCAGGACTAGGATTGTCTACGTGGACCTCATTTGATTTAAAAAAAGAAACTAAGTTATTCAAGCAAGCTGGACAGAAGAAAACCAAAACTTTGATGCTCTACGAGCTCCTCCACCCATGGATAATGCTTGATAACAAGCCATCCAGTTGCACTGACTTCGTATCAAACTGCTCTATCATATTCATCCTCTCTCCACCCACCAAAAATCCAAAAAAAAAAAAAAAAAAAAAGAAGAAATTCTTTCTCCCCCAACCCAGAGAGTATGAAAAGGAAGTTGAAGCCTGACTTGCTTACAGCTCTAGATCGGCCACCGCACATTCCTCATTTCTTCAGTTCATTAATATCGAGGCAATCCATTTTCCAAGAAAAGAGAGGCAAGATTGCCCCTAAAAAAGGGATGTTTGCCACCATCTGCGCATAGGCTAAGCTTAGGATCAATTAAGTAATACAACAAAGTCCCAAACCTATATATCAGATGAGGACAGGTTAACCAATTGAAAAAGGCTACTGACTGGGTGTATGCATCCATAACATATCCTGTTATTGAAAACCCAATGAAGCCATTGGGTGTATCAGACAGCCAAAAAGAAAAGATAGTCTCCCTAGCTCCACAGGACAAAGCAAAAGCATCAAGAACATAATGAATCATTTGCCATGACACTCAGGGCTGATTACTGACCACCAACCACTCAAATGAACACCAATCCTTAAATTTGGGCAGGAAGTAATTTGTTCCAAAAGCCCCAACAATAGTATTATCTACGGCTATAAACCAAAACATACAAGACAATCTACCACATGATATTTAATTATTCAACCGAACTACGAAGAAAGATGTCACTTTTACCCCTTTGGTATTTGATTTGGATTTGTTGCTGCTGTGGTTCGACAGTGATGACTTATCCTTTACTTGTTTCTTTACAGTTCCCGTTACAACCTCAAAAATTGTTGGAAGCTCATTAATCATATTGAAGAGACGTTTCCTGCATTAAGAAAACCAGCAAGATTTCATCTAATTGATAATGATTCAGCAAATCTAATACTAATTTTCAATTGCTTGCAATTATACATGATCAAGGAATTCAACCTTACAGGACACAGCTCAAAGTTAAAATCCCAGAAAGCAATTCTTTCAAAATTAGCCAAGTAAATTGCGTAATCACTTATCTCTATACATCATAACAAAGAAGAACACATATAATACACCAACAACGAGAAAACAAGGGCATGTTTCAACTTTCAATAAACCCTTATTTTCCTAGTAACTTATAAACTTAAATTCTAAAATGCCCAGAAGTGTAGGGAGAAAGCAAAAAAAACCTGTCAGCCCTGTCAAAACCAAATCTAGCACCAAAATAGAATGCCACAGAAAGTAACCATGCATCACTGTGGACAGCAACAAGAGCCAACCAGTCCTTTTCTTGCATTCCATCTCTTGCAAAGTTAATACCTAATGCAGGTTCTGGAAGCTCCGGAGGCACCTCTTCAGCAGGTAAATTAACTTCCCATTGCTCACTAGGGAACCCATACAGACAAAGATTTTCCTTTTCTGCAAGTTATATAACATAAAACAATACTAATGAACATCCATATTTGAAAAAGAAAGTCACCTAAGATTTCTGCACTGATATCAATTTGCTGAGTAATTGGAAAATGACCATTTTGGAAAAAAAAATTAGTCCAAGCAAACATAAGTAATCATAGCTCCAGATTCATTTAAAATGAGGTCATTTGAATTCCAATAGAGCACAAAGACCATCAAAATAATTCTGTTACATGTTTCACAAGTCCTTTATAAATAATCATACACCTAACAAACACAAGTTTTATGCCAGATTAGATCTCAAATGAAGAAGAAAAAATTGCCTCTTAATGAATGTAAACCTGAAAAAGATGGATGTCTGTTACAAGAAATAAAACAAATCATATGAGTGTATTAAGGGGAAATTGTGAAGGGATACACCTTTTGGGTCCGTTTGTTTAGCGGGATTATGATAGAAAATGCAAGAAAGAGAAATTTTTTAAAATTTTTATGTGTTTGATTAGCATGAAATGGAAAATGATAAAAAAAAAAAAAAAATTTCATTGCTTAGATTTTCTCAAAACTAGCCAACTTTTTTTTCTTGCAAAAAACACAAAGAAATACAAGAAAGTTGTGATGTATAACTAACTTCCTATTTTACCCTTATTTTTCTTAAAATATTTTATTAGTTATTAATTTTAAAAAATCTTGGCATGGATTTAGTTAATAATATAATTTGACTCAGAGACCTTTGTACTGATGGTTGTCCGAATTAGGTTAGGAGTAACTTTTTTAAAAAAATTTAACTTTGAAATATAATACATATTTTTTTTCTTCTTTAAATTGATTTAATATAATGAAGGGTAATTTTGACAATTAGAAAAATTTTCTTGTAACTTTCTTTTCTTTCAAATAATAAAATGAAATTTTTTTGAAATTTGCTCACAAGTTTTTCATGCTAACCAAATACATGCATGAAAATATATTTTTTCTCATTTTCTTTTCTTTCACTTCACTTTCTATTATTTTCACTTTCCATCATTATTTTCTTCCTAACTAAACGGACCCTTTAGGACTTATTCCTCTTAAAGTCCATAGTTCAGACTATTAAGCATTTAAGTCCACTTTTAGTATTTGTTTGGTAACCAGGTACACAATTTTGAAATTGCATATTTTTGTAGTATGTAATTGTCATTTGGTTAATATATGCAAGATTTGGCAGTTTCTATATTTTTTGATTCTGCTTTATAAGATAAATGATTTCCTAAACTAATGGATAATTGATAGTTTGAATTTTGAAATGATTACATTAATAGTGTTGCGAGCCAACTTTCCTTATTTTTGGGATATTTTCAGTTTATTGGTAGTTTCATAAATTATTAGAACAGTGTGTTTGAATTTTAAATAAGATAACCAACATTTTTTTTTATCTACATTAATGAATTTCATCTTCACCGAAATTAATTTTCTCCGAATTTTTCAAAACCACAAGCTGAAATTTACATTCTCCAAAAATCAATCCCTGAAATCCGGCTGTATTAAACGAATTTTATGTTCAAATTTCTCAAACAGCAGAACATAATATCAGGTATGAAGTTTTGATTTTATGTTTTTTTATTTTTTTAGGAACATACTTAGCTATTTTTTAATTACTTACTTAGATTTTCTTCTATAACAACATTATAATATTATATTAATTGGGCATTAGTTTTCATCCATCAATTTTTTTAGTATGTTCATCTATGATTGTAGTGTCCAAGCTTTATCTCAAAGGGTGTCACATTGGGTCATTACACTATGATGCCAATTTATTAAAACCAAAGGGAACATGTGTATTTAATTGTAGTGTCCAAGTCTTATGTCAAAGATGTCACACTGGGTCATCATAGTATGATGTCACTTTTATTAAAACCAAGTGAATGTATGTGTTTAATTGTATTGTCTAAGCCTTATGTCAAAGATGTCATACTAAATAGGTCACATTATGATGTCACTTTATTGTTCCACACTGGGTTGTCACACTATGATATCAAATCCAAATTTTTTTTGTGTTTGAACACTGAAATTAGTGGGCAAATGAGATTTTGTAGAGGATTTTTCAGAGTGAGTTTTGTCTTCCTTCAATATTGAGATTCCATTCCGTATTTAAAGGAGATATGGTGGTAGTTGAGTTATTTTAACTCATCCACAAAGAAACCAAGAAAATAATATACATCAACTTTTGCTACACATTACTTCAATCTTGCCTAAAGATGCTCCAAAGCACTTAAGAGAGCAATCCTAATTGATAAATATTTCAAATAATAACTTTTGAATGTGTTTTCATCAATTCCAACATAACTTCTCATTGCCCTCTTGAAGAAATATAAAAAGATTATAGGGAGTACTATACATTCTCTTTTTACAACCACTTCCTGACATTTAAGCAACAAATAAAATTCAGAGAGAAGCCAACCTTTTAGGGCAGAGTCATATAAACAACATTTGTCCATCTATAGAACTATTCATGGAATGAATCATTTGTTGAAGATTGAGTCATGGACATGAACAACTATCTTGGGTTTATCCTACTCATGTAATACAGTTACAGTTGGGGAGAAGGCAGTGAACCCAGACAAACAAAGAGAAAGCAGAAAAACAAAGGCTACACAAAATAGTTCTTTTTGCTTACAAAAATTCAAAAAAGAGAAAAGTAAGTTTGAAAAAGGTGATAGCAAAAGATAACATTCTTCTGCTAATCAAATGGAGCCACTAATCATGAGGTGACACAAAATTCACACATTCCTCATAAGAAAAATGCTACTTGAACCTAATCTGGGACCTAATACAATGCAGTTTTTGAAAGTGAACTATATTTAACATTGAAACTCGCAACTACTCTAGTGACTACATTGAATTAGAGTCCCAAATTAAGTCCTTATAGCATTGCTCCACATCATAAATACCTAGATAAAGGTGAAAGAGTAAACCAACACGCAGACCCAATATCCATTTACAACCAGGAAAAAAAATTAGGATAAATTGTTTTCCGAAGATGAGAGATAATTTAATAAAACTACACTTTTTCCCCCCTTTTTGCTTTAATCAGAACATGTAAACCAAATCAGTCCCAACGATCACCTTGAAAATTCAAAATAAATGCGCAATTAGTACATATCAATGTATAACAAGAAGCCCTAACTAACCAGGATCGCACTGCTGATAAAATTCTTCAACATCTGCAATAATGAAAAATTAAATAAGCATAAGAATGTGCGACAATAAAACTATCAAATCAAAAACCCTAAAATTCAAACTCGAAAAATTTTAAAAAAAAAAAATGAGTGTGAGTATTATAATGCGCACCAGTGGTGAGGGCTTTGATCATGCCGGCTCGTCGACCCTTGAAATCTCGGAAAACCTCCTCGACTGTGCGAGGATTGTACAGTGCTCCTCCGTCCATGGCCGTTCAATACACACACATACGCAGCTTCGCCTCCCGTTTTCAAAAGGCTTAGCTTAATATAAAGCACAATAAATGCAGAAAATGAAGGCAACAGAGAAAATATATAATCGGAAACTACCAGTTTTCAAGGAAAAGTACATGAATATGCGGACTCAGAGAGCGAGAGGACAAAACGAACACATTGCAACGAGAGAGTGAGAGAGAGAGAGAGAGTTTTAGAGGGAGAAAGGGGGCAAAATATTCTTACGTTTGTTCGGAGATACATCGCCTTTGCTTCTGGTGTCGTACCGGATGAAAAGACGGATTTGCCAAGTAATGGGCCAAGTAGCCAAAAATCATAATCAGGTTTGCCTTTTGGGCTTAGAAGGCCTAAAACCACGGCCATGTGCTGGCCTTCATATGAAGTGTCAATGGCTCAATGGGCCGCCAGGACTTTCGGGTCAATCCCTACAGTATATTTATATAATAAAATAGTTTATAATTCAAATTTTAAAAATAAATAAAATAATTTTTTTTATTCGCGGTTGAAATCGCATTAAATTTTACTTTAAAATTAATCTAACGACTAATATTAACATTCTAAATTTAATAAAAAAAATAGGCCTTTAAAGGTGTGTTTGGAGTAATTTTTAAAAAATAGTTCTAAAAATTATTGTTCATGACTATTTTAAAAAAAATAATAGTGTTTGAACCTCCCCACCATTACCTCTACCACCACCATCCCCACCACCACCACCGTTGTGCCGCCACCACTGCCGTCGCCGCCATCCTTTGCCGCCACCACGGTCATTGTCATCCACTACAAATATTACCTTCTCTTACCACCACCAATGTCACCCACCACCTCTCACCCCCACTATAAATCGATTCTTAAATTTATTTATCTTTTCTCTATATTTGTGATTTAATTTTGGATATAAATAAAAATATGTTTATTATTTACCATTTTTTATTACATTGTGCTTTCAGGCGCATGTAATAACTAGTCTATATAATAAAGTAGCTTTACAATTTAAATTTCAAAAGATAAAAAAAATGACTTTTGTTATTTGCGGTTGAAATCGCTTTAAATTTTACTTTAAAGTTAATCTAACGACTAATTTTAACACTCTAAATTTAATATAAAAAATAAGCCCCTAAGGGTGTGTTTAGATTGACTTTTTTAAATTACTTTTAAAAATTATTTTTCATAAATACTTTAAAAAAAAAAAAGTAATGTTTGAAACTGCCTCACCACCACCACCGCCACCACCACTACCATTATCACCACAGCCGCTGTCGTCGCTACCACCGCCTCCACCACCACCACCACCGTCATTGTCACCACCACTGCCCGCTCCCACCACCATTGTCGCTGTCAACACCACCCCCCACCACTGTCGTTGCCACTACCACCACCACCACCACCATGGCTATCACTGCCACCACCATCGGCGCGCACCACACTACAATCATCACCGTCTCATACCACCACCATTGTCGTTCACCACCTCTCACCCCCATTACAAATCGATGCTTAAATACATTTATCTCATTTCTATGTTTGTGATTTAATTTTATATATGAATACAAATATGTTTATTGTTTAGCATTTTTTTATTATTCTGTGCTTTCAAGCACAAGCAATAACTAGTAAGTAAATATTATGTGTAACAGATACACCATATCAGTATTACTATGTGGCATAATCATTCAATGATAATTCATCAAATAGAAAAAGTTTACCTCACTTATTCAAATAACTACCCCTCCGTAAAAGATAACTAGGGTAAGTGATGGATTTTTTGGGAAAGAAAAAAATTAAATGTAAATAGTTTTGAAAAAAATATTAGTGACATTTAGATAATTCGATTTGAAATTTGAGACTATCAAATAGATTTATTAAATCCTACATTGTTTTATATTATAGATTATTTAAACACGCTATAGGCTCAAAACTCAAGCTATTATTTATCGTTCTCTTTCTATACAATTTGCATGAATCCAAAAATTAAAGTTACATAACACAAAAAAAAAAAAAAAAAAAATCATTCACTCACTTGATAAAATCATAAATGAAAAAAATATATATACTTTCATGAAATGTTAAAATCAAATGTGTCACTCTAGTTCATCATTAATGAATTTAAAAGTTGTCATTGTATAATCCAAAAGACAAATATCCAAATATTAAAGAAAATTAATTAGTTACCATATAAAAAATGAATGAATTAAGGTAGACATAATTTTGGGGAAGATATGTGTATGATTTGATGGGAGATTTACCATTGAATTAATGGATGAATTTGAAAGTCAAAGAATTGTGAATAAAATGTGGAAACGAAAGAGTATTAATTTGGAATAATTAAAAATGGAAGGTGTCTTAAGTGGAAAAAACAAAATTCGTTTGTCAATTTCAAATCAATATTTTTGAGTTGATCGGACCAACAAAAAATTAGAGATAAGATAAACTTTTGGATATAACTTATTATTTTCTTAGAATTGATCTGAACTACCCAAAATTTAAGATAAATTTTGAGATTCAAACTCAACTTTATTTTATTATATAGATAATATCCGCATGTAAAAATAACATTTATAAAGGCAAATGGGTTGACCTTTTTGACCATTTAAGCACTCAATTGAAGCTCATCAAAAATAATTAAAGCTAATCATGGTGTAATTTCATATGTGAAACGACGCAATCGACAGATTATATAGGTTCCAACTCTTCTTGACCTTTGCTAACAAAACAAATTAGTGCAATACTAATGGGAGATGTGGTTGCCACTAGCAGTGTTTAATAATAAATCATTAACCTTGAACCTACGAGGCTTATGCTCTATTTGGTAGGGAGGATGAAAAATAGAAATAAGAGAAAGTAAGAGGGATACACTTTTTATCTTTTAAGGATGAAAAGTAGGAAGAACACACTTTCCTTTTTTTGTGTTTGGTTGGATGGATAGAAAATAAAAAAGACTATTTTTTTTTTTTTGCTGGCTAAAATTAAGGGTGACAATAGAGTCGAGTCGTGTCGTATCAGATTCGTATTGAGTCATTACGAGTTTGTGTCGAATATTAGTCAAACTTAACTTAACTCATTTAACTAATTGTGTCGTATCGAGTTACGAGTTGACTTATTTATTTTCGTATCGAGTTCCAGTCGTGTCATCGTGTTGAGTCGAAAATTTTCACCTTTAATTAAGATGGAAAATTTTTTTTTTAACTTAAAATTTTAATTTTTTTATTTTTAATATATTTTTTAATATTTAATATTTTTTATTTTTTATTTTTTTAAAAAATAATTTTTAAAATTTTTTAAAATATATATACATATTTTACTATTGTATTTTTATATGAAATTAATGTATACATAAGATATATAGACAAATAAGATAGATCTCAACACAAATAATTACTTTTCCATCCACCTTCTTTCCGATTTTGGAGGGATTGATTTTGGTGAGTTGGAAGGAAAGTTAATCCATCCACTTTTTCATCTTTCCTACTTTCTTTTTTTACCAAACATGATGTTTTATTTATCCTTCCAACTTTTTATTCTTTCACTTTTTTATCCTCTCACTTTTTTATCGTACCAAACGGAACATTAAAATATAACAGCTGCCACCAAACATTCCAACCCACAACTTGTGACATCTATCTCGTGTTTATCTTTTCAGCAATGTTAATTGGACCTACTTTATTAAAATTATTAACGAACTTATGGAGAACCCTAATATTTATTGGATCTATTATAAATTCAGTGAAATTGATTGACTAAGTTAATAAATTAGGTGTAAATAATAGAGTAAATGATATATGTGGCCTTCAAATTAGGATTCTTGTATCTATTAAGTCCTTGAACTTTTTTTTTGGTGTTAATTGAATTTCTGAATTCTCTAATTGTATCAATTGAACCCTTCTGTCTACATCCGTTAAATTTTTCTAACTAAAAATAGTGAAGTGTGCCACTCACGTGACACAATTGAGCACACATATGGTCCTCAAACTATAGCATTTATTTCAATTAAGCCACTGAATTTTTTTTTTTGTCAATTGAATCCTTCTGTCTTTTTATGTCATATAGTCACATTAGTGACACACTCTAACAAAGGTAGACATAAATGCTCAATTGACACAATTAGAAAGTTCAAGAGTTCAATTGAAAAACAAAAGTTTAAGAGCTTAATTGACATAGAGATCATAGTTTGAGGGTCATATGTATAATTTATTTTGAATAATATTATTCTATTCTTTTTCCTCCCAAAATAACAGATTGGGAGTTGGGAAGAAGGGTTTGTTCAAGCGTTGTGGCTGGAGTGCAAGCACAAAACATGAATCCAATTCCCCATTATATCAATTTGAAGGATTAGGTCTCTTTTCTTGATGTTTATGCAATGAAAGTCATATTAACGAAGTGAAACAAATGCCCTGTTTTGCCTTGGTAGAACCAAAAATAGAAAACTCTGGAAAAGAGACGCAGCCATGATATCTTATGATGTTGTCTGTAATTCCTTTCTTATATAAATGCCATCTATGTTCTAACAGTACTCTAGTATGGCTATTGTTAAATTGGCATATTGGCTATTTGGATAATATTTTACCCTACTTTGACAAAGAGAGAGGAAACTGGGCAGCATTTGCATAGCCAACCTGGCATGTCCTCCCAAACTCATCAATTTCCACGACAGAATCCCAAAACTCATCAATTTCCATGACAGAATCACACGCACACGCGATCTTAACATTATTAAAATTTTTGATAATATAGTTGCAATAAAGCAAACTTATTACTACTAACCAAGGAGAAACAAACTTAGTATTTAGTTCATGTAAAATATTGATTATACATCTATTTTTTCTTCTCCTATTTGCTTGTAACTCGGTCGCTTATAGGTTTATCTCATATTAACACCCTCCCGCGCCCCCCCCCCTCCCCCTCTCTTCACATTTCAATCTTATACAATCATGTATATAGGTGACCTTGGACAGAATCCTCAAGTATAGATAATACATAACTTTCTGGTTAGTAGGAAGCATCAACCACAGTCTCTCTCTATTGTTTATTTATTTTCTCCCAAAATCCCTGCCGTGGCATTTGGCTTTCTCTCTCTTTCTCTCTCCACAGCTACTAACCATCAACCACAGACACACACTGTCTTCTCACTGCTCTTGTTTCTCTTTCCTCTCTTTCAATGTCAACAAACTCTGCTCTCTTTCTCTCCCAAAAAAAAATTACAGACATTCTCCTCACTGTCTATTCACATGATTTTCGTTTCCTTCATAAATGTCCCTATTCAGCTTTCCCAGTTCTCAAATCGACAGTACAGTTACAAGTAGACATAGAAGAGGCAATACCCATAATAAAGTTGGAGCTTAACCCATCCTTTTTCTTCGCTTCCATTTCTTCTCTTATCTCTCTCCTCTCTACATTTTCATATTACAAACCATGGCTTCTACATGGGAGAGAAATTTCCAACAAGACACACCACAACACCGTCCAAAAACACCCTCATTCTCTTCCTCTCTCCTCGACGCCATTTACCGTTCAATCGACGAATCCAACATCCAACAAGAAGACTTTGTTCTCTGCAAAAGAAACAACGTGGCAAAAGTCGAAGAAGAGATCGCAAATCTCCGACGAACAATCATGATCGAGAAATGGATGGAGAATCGAAGCCTTAGCACCAGTCGAAGTTCAAGACCCTTCAATTCATATTCAAGTTCTTCAGAATCAAGCATTTTTTCATCTTCCGAAACAGAGTCAAAACCATCAAATTTCAGAGCAAAACAAGCTCGACCCACTGTTCTTGAGAGATCTGACAAGGCCATTGAGTTTGAAACAACCCCGAAACGTGAAGGACGGTTCATGAGAACAAAGTCCAGAGCGTTGAAGATCTATGGAGATTTGAAGAAGGTGAAACAGCCCATTTCACCGGGTGGTAAAATCACAACCTTTTTGAATTCACTTTTCAATTCAAGAAACGTGAGGAATTCCAAGAACAATGAAGCTCTGGAGAGAAAATCAAGATCGGTGAAGGAGGAGGACTCCTCAAAAACTACCTGTTTGTCAAATTCCAATTTCTCGAGATCGTGTTTGAGCAAAAAGCCATCAAACAGAGGTAATAATAAATCAAAGAGGTCTGTTAAATTTTGTCCTGTTAGTGTTATTGTTGATGAAGATTGTCGACCTTGTGGGCATAAAAATATATACAAAGACGAAACGAGTCTAATCCCACCACCCATTGTTAGAAAATTAGCTGAGACCGCCATGGTTAAGGAGCTCAACAACCAGTTCATGGAGAAAAGCAATGCAGAAAGAAAGAATTTCAGAGCTTATAGTAAGAAGGGTATCAATTTCTTTGATTTAGGAGATTTTCGTGACGACGACGTTGATAATGATGGTGATGGTGAGAGTTGTTCGAGCTCAGATTTGTTTGAGCTTGAGAATATTGGTGGGGTTGGGGTTGGGATTGGAGGGTACATGGAGGAGTTGCCAGTTTATGGAACCACTAGTCTGAAAGCAAATCAGGCCATCGCTGATGGATTGATTCTCTAGCAGCCTGAATTGACCTGAAAAATAATCACTGTAGAGTTGTATTACTCAATTTGTCTTCTTTGTATTAGGTTGTTTTTGAACTGTTAAAAACGTTTGTTAAAACGTGTCATCAACACCAAGTTTAAGGCATTCATTTAAGGGATAAATTTTTCATAGTCTGATTTCGAAGGTTACCAAGATTCGAATTCAAAATATATGAATTTATAACTCATTCTTGTTAACACTTATAATACCCTTAAATGTTCTTTGTATTAGGTTTTTTTATGGATTTTGTATCATAATAAAATGAAAAATCTTGCCCATATTTTGTTATGAGAGGACGTTGATTTAATGTTTTGAATCACGTTTTTTGGATGATTTTTTTACATCGTTATCAAAAACACCAAAAAACAAAACAAACAGACACATTTTCGATGATTTTATTGCATTGTTATGATTTTCCAAGCTTTCGTATTCAGAAAATTACAAACGCAAACACATTGAAAGTGTGTTTTTTATATATAATCGTAAAATGGTGGTTAGCACGTCAGGTAGTTGCTAACTTGAAATCGAATCTAATAGAGGCGACAACCTCATTATTTTTATAACTATGGAATGATAACTTTACTGTAGTAATTTGTACTCCTCTTAAAAAAGTGTTCCATTTATAATGATATATGGTTAATAATACTATAGAGGACCCTCAAATTATGTCCGCTTTTTTATTTTTTAAAAAAATGCTCTTTAAACTTTCAATTGTTTTAATATAATTCTTAAACTACGTAAAAACATAGCAATCAATCTCTTTTATCCATTTTTTTTTGTTTTAAGAGTAATGTTACATTGATCAAAATTTGGAATCAAATTTAGAGCTCAAATAACTTGACAACATATTATTTAGACTCTTTATTGGGGCTCAAATGATATGACACCAAATAAAGAAGCTCAAGTCAGCTGTCATGTCATTTGAGCTCTAAATTTAATCCCAAAATTTGGTCAACATAGCATTACTGTTATTTTAAAGTATCCGGATAAATTTATGTGTACTTTAACTAATCCATTTTCCTGTTTGATCAAAGACAGACCATCTTTGTCGGAACTATGATATTCATGGTCTAATTTCAATGGATTGCTAAAATTATAACTCAGGACATTTAAATTTATAATTTGTCCCTGTTATCACTTGAAGTACTCCTTAGGATCTCATCCAATTTTTTACTAAAACAAAATATATATATATATATATATATATATATATATAACCAGACAACCTTCCTTCAATTTGACCCACAATTCATTTTTCTCATAGTTGCTTGTGTTTTAACAGTTGGATTTGGGCAGAAAGAGTTGGATTATTAGGTGAAGGATTAAAAGTTGAGGGGCATTTTTAAAATAGGACACATAATTCAAGGTCCATTAGTGATATTTTTTTTTACCCCCCTAAGTTTCTTTGAGTTTAAGATAAAATGATTACAATCTGACTTTTGAGAGATTGCACTGTGGGAACACTCGGGGGCCCCACAAAAAGAATCTCAGAAGTCAAAATAAAGCAGGATCAGACCATGATAGCGCACATGCAAACTCACTTTTCCATATTTGAAAAAGTTGATTTCCAACCTACCTCTTAACTTTTGATTCTTAAAAAAAAAAACACAATATCTACCTTTGGCCTATCATGGAATATATCTACTTTTTAAACTTGGCAATCTTCTTTAGATCAAGCTTCGATTAATTTATTCTTTATAAATTTTATAGTCTTGATTTAAAAGATTTATTTTTTATTAAATTAAATAAAATTAATTAAAATATACATAAACTAGCATGAGCATCATAGATTGTAATACTAAAAAAAATTTAAAAAGAAATATGGGTCCATTTAGTGTTTTAGTATTTTGTTAGTTTTTATTCTTTCATTATCTTTTAATCAATAGTTATAGGGCATCTAAATCAAAATTAAAATTTTGAATTAAATTATGTCACGGTTCTATAAAAAAATAATATGGTTAATAGCACTTTCATTTCTTAAAATATTTATTTTTTGTCAGTTTAGTCCGTATTGTATCAATTTTTTTAATTTGTTCTCTAATTAGATAATTTGTCAATTTTTTTGACAGAAGTTACCACGTCTCATTTTTTAGACAGTTTTACATGCCTAACACGTGATTATTCTGTCAAAAAATTTAATGATCTGTCTATGTATGGAATAAAATGACACAAATTAAATATTTTGAATGATCAAATTGATAACAAAAAATATATTTTAGAGACTAAAAATGCTATTAACCCAAAATAATAAGAATAGTTGATTTGCAAACATACACATTATTTCACCCTCTCGGTGCGTTGATGGATCACCGTTAGTCAATTACACATCACAAGTAAGCTAAATAAAAATGTAATAGTTTGAATCTAAAATTAAGACTTAATTTACAAACTTAATCAATTACGACTATTGAATTGAACGTAGACTTTATTTAATATTAGAGTCTATTTAATGATGGTATTAAATTACAACCCAAAATCATGTTCATATAGCATTGCTTGTTAATTAAACTAGTATATAAGGGATTTAGGTTCACTCAAATAATTTTTTTATTAGATTTTTTTAATAATAGATAACTCCCTATGAATTTAAGTGTAATCCATTATATATAAATGTACCTTCACCAAAACATAGTGTGTGATCACCATTAAAAAAAATAAAAATAAAGAGAAAGAGGTCACCCTCACATGAATATTCACACTAACAAAGTTTGTAAGAATCTTTTTACAAAGGCAAATTTATTGAGTAAGATACTAAGTTTAACCCATTCTTGACTTTCACATGTCATGCCAATTTACAACTTTTTATGGTAGAAAATTTCAAAGAGTATCTGGCAATAAAAAGCATGAAAGGCTCTGATAATTAAAATTATTAGTTTCTAGACTAATGATATGATCAATAATTTAAAAAAAAAAAAAAACAAGTCAGAAACATTTTTTTGCAACCAACTGATTCCATGTGTTAGCATCCACACCAACCAAACATGGTCTGTCATACACAAACATATTTGAATTGAGGAAGATCGTGTGTCTTTGTAATTGCTACATGATGGATGTGGAACCAGCTATATTTGCACCCATGATCAAGGACCACGTATCACTTTCTGTTGGTTCGATTCCTTCAACATTTTTGTTGCGGTAGAAGGGTGCATGGCTAGTCATACCGGGGAAGCATGTGAGGCCTAAATCGATAAGTGTTGGAGAGACTTTTTTATTTTTTTAATAATATATTAATTTTAAATTTTTATTTTTTGAGATTCAAAATTACTAATTAATTTTTTTTATCCAAATTATGCTAACATATATTTTTTTATGTTATCCTTATTTATTTTGTAAATTCTTTACCAAAATTGTGGTAGTATATGGTTGACTATATTTCAGAATCTTTTAGTTGCTTATGTTTGTAACTTTCATTAATTTTTTATTATATTTTATTTGTTACGGATAACAACTTTATCAAAAAAAAAATTGAAATTAAATTAGTTTTTATTTTAAATCTTTTATGAGAATGAACAATGTGGTTGATGTTTTGTCCTTAAATGACAATAAAATCAAATTTGAGAGAAGTACATAATATATTAAGTTTGTTTTCGTTTTTATTTTTGTATGAAAAAGGGGGGGGGGGGGGAGAGATTGAAACTTATTATATTTAATTTTTTATAGGAGAATGTCAAAATAATAAAATAAAAATTGATGAAGTCATACTTTCTTGTTTTTTTTTCCCGAAAGAAATGATTATACAATACACACATGACCACATTAACACCATTGCCACTTAAAAGTGGTAGTGGTCAAGGGCTTTACACATACACACAACCCTAAGACTATCCGAGGTGCCACGAAGAGCAAAGAGGTTTTGCAATGTCATTGTGTTCCATTTGTCACTGTTATGTGTCACTATATTCCTCGTGTCACTGTTTTTTTATCATTATAAATTTGTCACTGTCATTTTGTTTTATGATGCAACTGTCACCTTTTTAATTATTATTTTTCTTTGTGTCGCTAGTTTTTGTCAATTTTACTTTGTGTTATGAAGTAATTATTTTTTTAATATCGGATAAATTTTAAATTTGTCACACATCACTGCTATTTTGTGTTATAATGTATTTACTTTCTTAATATTGTGCTCGCAAAATTCAGCCAATTATTAACCGCATTTATAAGTTTGGTGCCAAAATTTAGAACTTTGTAAGTTAAAGTTATAATTTTTTAAATATAAATTATAATTGCAAAAAACAAAATTAGTCCTAAAATGTTAAAATTGACAAAAAAGTTATAAATTTTAAAGGTTAAGTTCTACTTTTTAAGAGTGAAATCACAACTAATTAAGGTATATATATAATCAATCACAATATTTCATGATTAATCATAAATTATCTTAATAAATTATACTTTTACATTTAAAAGATATAATTTTACTTTAAAAATAATAATTTTTTATACGATAGAATTGTCCTAATTTAACCTTAAAAATAATAAATTTTTATATGATTCTAAAATTTTTCTGAGTACGATAAAAGTACTCTAAAAAGTAATCCAGTAAAATGGAAAGAAACGTACAAAGGTTGCGCACAAAAAGCGTTTATAGACCAACTAGTGGTTGGTTCGGGGTAAGAACTAGTATTTTTTTGTCCAATGCTGCCTTCGTAGCTACAACAATTCAGTGGCGCTTAAAATTACTTTTTAGCGCATAGAATATGTGGTTAGGTTTGATTCCAATGTAAGTGCATTGAAATGTCTCGAAAATAATTTTATGGTGCCGAAGAACAAATACTCTCTAACGTATATATAAAATAATTAGTTATTGTCTGTGTCTGAAAATACAGAGTAATAAAAAATAAAAAATAAAAAATATATTTGTATTCATATTTAAAATCAAATCACAAACATAAAAAAAGAATAAATAAATTTAAGTATCGATTGTAGTGAGGATAAGAGGTGGTGTGTGACAATGGTGGCGGTAAGAGATGATGATGGTT